TTTTTAAAAAAAAAAAGGAAAATGCTAAAATTTTAACAATAACGATTTTAAAGTTACAGTAAAGATTTAGCAAATTTTACATTTAATATACATATATATGATTCAAGATTAAATCTCAAATAAAATTTTAAGATAATTCTCAATAAAAATTGAAAAAAAAAATGCGAACCTGGCTAATGTACGCAACCAAATATCACGATGTGTTGTAGGCCTCCAACGAATTTTAATATACACCAAACCAGTAATAAACATTATTAGCAATATTAGTAGTATAATTAAGCCAATATTTAACACCGTGGGTCGGAATATCTAAATTCAAATGATTTTAAATTATAACTAAAATTTAATTAGCAAAATTTGCTCTTTTACTTATCAAACAGCAATGCTAATATAATAAACAAAACAGCGCATTTTTTGGTGCATAAAAGCCCTAAAATTAGCGCAAGAATTGAATGATTTTAAATGAGAGATGAAAAAGTGTGCAAATAATAAAGTAATTACAAAGATTAATAAGATTAATGAAATAGCATGTTTGTTGAGGAGATGGAGAAAATGTAATGAATATTGCAAATTTAAAAAATAACTTGAATTATTATCAAAAATGATTTCGCTGGGGAAAAAAAAATATAATATAAAGTGTAAAGTAGTGCATGATGCATTTGTGTTGCATGAACCAAACATTTCTAACAAATCTGAATTTGTCGCTTTTTTATTATCAATTAGAGGTTTTATTATTAATTATTAATTAAAAGTAAATTTTCGTCATCATTCAAGAATGAATGTTTTCCATGAAAAATTACAACTAAATAATTAAAAAATATTAGAAGAACCTATGCGCACCTACAAATATGCGAAATTTCTAATAACTTATAAATATGTGAAATTTCTAATAAATATACTTCAGTTATTGGAAAAAATGATAAATTTAAATGAAAAATTAACCGATATCCTGAAAAACTACCCTATGAATTACAATTAGTTTATAAAAAAAGGTCACTAAAATTCGAACGATGTAACTCAAGCATGACTATTTGGATTATCATTGATTATCATGATTACCATCTTCTATTACTATCCATGCATGCATCGAATATTACTATCAAATTATTCATTCTAAATTGTATCAAAAAAATTCTTGAAAAAACCAAAGATTCTGTGTTATAATATGATGTAATCTAAAATAAAATCTCACAAACTGATCAATCAACTAGTCCGTCACTCAATCAGTTTGTTAATCAATCATTGAGTCAACCAATTAATTATTCTTTCGTCAAATATCATCAACAATTCAAAATCATGCTGATAATATGTAATCAATATCAATAAAATAAAATGAAAGACTTAAAATAAAAAATTAATGCAATGAAAGGAAAAAAAAGTAAGAAATATATTTTACCAAAGAATAATAATAATTGATTAAAAAAAAAAAAAAAACTGACAAATTAATCTTGTAAAGTTTCCTGTCTTAATTATAATAAAAAAATAATAGATCAATTAATGAGACGATGCAAATTATCGTTTATTACCCCATCTTATCATCACCTCAATCATCACTACCTTATCATATCTTATTATTTTACAAGATAATCTAAGATGATTATCATGATTATCACCTGTAGTCGTAAGGTATATTGAGGTTCAAAATCAACATATTCAAAAGCAATTCGAATTACAGAACCACTATGCGTTGCTTCATTTAATTGCTTTTTTAATCGTTTTGTTTCTAAATCATCCAACATTACAACTGGTATACGACCACGTTCTGTCTAAAATATATTAATTAAAAATTGACAAGAATATTTTTAATTTTAACTATTTCTTTGGATATTTTTTACTATTTTTAACTTTTTTCCTCCTCCTCTTTCCATATCTAAATAGTGTGCTAAAATTTAGTAAAATTTCCAAATAGCAATAAAATTAACATTGTAAATGATGCTATCATTTACAGCATCGGCTTTTTTTCCCTAACAAAAAAATAAAATTTTAGAAATAAAAAAGCAAAAGAAGAAAAAATTGCTTAAATTTTTATTTAACCTTATCAATTTGTGCCACTATACGACTTTCTGGTCCAACAACCAAACCCAATGCACCTGATTTTTCAGCAAAACGAACCTGAATAAATTTTATAGCTTAAGTAAAAAAAAAAAAAGAATTGGAAATGAAACAAAATTCATTCAATAATGAAATATTCATTTAAAAGAAAAAAATTTACATTTAATATTTAATAATTGTTTTTAATAACATGCAGTGTTATCGTATCATTTCAAATCTTAAAGCTTATTTGTTTTGCCAAAAAAAAATTTTAATAATGAAAATATACAAGAATGAATGGATGGATGGATAAATCAGAAATCAGAAATCAGAATGAAGAGACAATGAGAAAGAGAGAGAGAGAGAGAGAGAGAGAGAGAAAAAAAAAATGAAATGAAAATGAATACTTTTGAAATTATCAACAATAAATTGTTACAAAGTTTTAATTAATTATAATTCTATTCTAAATCAAATCAATAATACTATTCCTAGCTAGTCTATATGATAATATTACTCTACAAAAGCAACAAATATTAGGAAGCAAAATCAATGTCTTATCAATTAATTTAT